TACTGTATATTGTATGAGCAAACTGGAAATATCTCTTTGTAAATGAAATATCTTCTAAAATAAAAACTCTTCCCATGAATTAAGCATACTTAAAATATTAATTCAAAATCAAAACTGTTAGCCCTCGGGCTGCCATTCAGGGGGGAGGCTGTCGGTCACCAGTGCCACACCTGCTCGGCCATGCTTACACACCGTCAATGCCGCCACCACCACTGCTAACACTGCTGGGGCCGCAGCCCCTCCCCTCCTCTCTCTGATGTCGGCAGAGCCTGTAGCTGCATGCGGCTCTGCATGGCTTCCCTCACAACTCTGCAGGTACGCCTCCTGGACAACAGCTGCACTTCAGAGCCTACTCTGAAGAAACGCTTCTAGTTGTGGGTGGGGTAACGTGGCAAAAACTTCATGAATCCATGAAGAAACAAACCACAGAGCAAATGAAGTTTACAAATATTATTCATAGTGACTAGCCCACTGCCTACTCTTGACCCAAGGAAACCAAGTATATATTGATAAGCCTTTGGATGTGGAGCAGAGGTGGTATTCAGCAGGTTCCGACCAGTTCTGGAGAACCAGTAGCAGAAATTTTGAGTAGTTCAGAGAACTAGTAAATATCATCTCTGACTGGCCCCGCCTCCCATCTATTCTCTGCCTCCCAAGACCCAGCTGATTGGAAGGAAATGGGGATTTTGCAGTAACCTTCCCCTGCCACACTCACCAAGCCACGCCATGCCCACCAAGCCATGCCCACAGAAGTGGTAGTAAAACTTTTTGAATCCTACCACTGATGTGTACATACATTTTCTGATCAGTCTAAGAAAAAGAGATTGGTTGCTATATTCTCTCCTTGTTATATCCCTCCCTATAAAGGCTTTTTAACAAGGAAGGATGGATAATTGGAAGGGCAGTCAAAGGAACTGCACATCTTAAATCTAGCATGCTGTATGCAGAAATGACATTGACACCTCAAATGGTCAAAGGTGTCAAAAGTGAACTTTAATTCAAGTACCATCATTTCTCAAAAAAAGGGGAACTGCTTAGTGTTTTTCTTAGAACTGTATTGAATTTCAAAAACACCAGGTTCATTCTTCTTTGGGAGGCATATTTTGAGTAAGAGAAACATAATGGAGGTCAAACAACATGCCACAGATCCTACTGGGATCAGTTGAATAGCATCATTCTATTTAAGGTCATAACAAACAACAAAAACTGGTCAGTCTTGAGTTTAGATTCCAGAAGCGCATTGGCTTGAAGAGACACATCAAGCATACAAATGGACTTGATCCCATAATGTATAGCCGCTGTTATATTAATACACTGGGATGACATTGTCACCTGCATTAACAGCTGCAAAATTGAATTTGCAGCTGCTATTCTGCTGCCAAGGGCTGAATTAAAAAGAAAAAGAAAAGGATTTGTGTTCAACAGCAAAAAGAAAGAAAGCCAAGGTAGAAGCAGCAACAATGATCCCATACATCAGCCTTTCCTAAACTGCTCCACTTTGTGCTAGGTGGTGTCATCCAATATATCTGATGGGCACCAGGTTGGAGAAGGCAGCCAGAAATATACTTTATGTTCAGTGCAAAATAGTCTAGACATTTTCAGTGTTTCTTGTTCCAAGAGAGGTGCTCAGAGATTTACAGCTGGAAAATTATCTGAAAATTATACAGCAGGGAGTGATTTAAAAAGCAGAAGCTCCAATAGTCATATTTTAATGGAGAGAACACAGTACCAACAAAATGTGAATTTGAGTGGAAGATTGGCTATGAAGAGCATGTGGCAAAATGCATAATCTTTTCACAACTAGCCTTTTTCCTATTTAATCTCCCCTTCCTCAAACAGCTCTTCTATTTCCCACAGAAGATAGATAGAAGAGAGATTTTGAGTGGAAAAAAATGATTAACTCCAAAAGTTAGACCACTGTTGGAGAACCTTTTCGGCACCAAGTGCCGAAACGGGAGTGTGCATGTGCGTGAGAATGCCGGAAACCAGAAGAGCAGTTCCACTACGCGCACACTGGGAAGCTGAGCTTCTGGTTTCTGGTGTGTGCATTCGCGCTGGTCACCTGGTCTTCCAGTTTCTGACATGCATGTATATGCGAAGAGCAGCTGGCAGGCATGAATGCACACGCTGGAAATCGGAAGCTTAGCTTCCTGGCACATGCATATGCGTCAGGGACAGAGGTGGGTTCCTACCAGTTCGCACCTATTCGGTAGAACCGTAAAATGTGGTGCAATCGGAACATTGCGTGTGTTGAAGTTGTTTTAACGCAAACCAAAGATGCCTTTTAAAAAACAAGTTTACATCATATTCTTATGCACGCCAGTGCTGTGTATGAGGTAATTTAAGGTGGTTCTGACAAGTGTCGTCGGCATCTTCATATCCAGTCACATGGACGGCAAGCCACTCCCATCCGGTCACATGGGTGGCAAGCCACTCCCACAAAGGAGGCCACACCCACAGAGTAGTTTGAACAATTTTTGAAACCCACCACTGGTCAGGGAGCTGCTCTTCTGGTTTCCTGTGCTCCCATGTGCGCGAAGACCAGCTGGCCAACACGCATATGTGCGCTGGAACCCAGAAAAGCAATGAACAATGGCTGGCATGCCCGAAGAGATGGCTCTGTGTGCCACTTCCGGCATGCGTGCCATAGGTTCGCCATCACAGAGTTAGACCCACCTCCAGATTGATCTTCCAATCAGATACCTTCAAAACATATCTACATACATTTTTGTTTGCTTTGGTGGAGGGAGCTTTTGAGTTGGGGTGGACTAGCCGTGACTGTCTGGATAAGTCCCTACAGTTTCCTCTGCAAGATTTCAGAAGTGAGTTGCCATTGCCTGCTTCTTCCTAGAGCTGAGAGAGAATAACTGGCTCAAAGTCACCCAGCTGGATTTTGTCTAAGGCAGGATTAGAATTCACAGTCTCCCAATTTCTAGCCTGATGTCTTAATCTCTACATTAAACTGACAGTCTTGCTTGCTTAGGTTAGGTTTAGTTTAAATGTACGCCTTACTTTCTAAAGGCAAATGACCATATTTGCAACCAATATCTAACCCAATCAGTCTTATTCCTTTACAAGTTAGAATTGTCTGAACCTCAGCATTAAGTATAATGCTGATTGCTTACTTTTCACTGAAATCTGCTTTAGGTTCTTCCCTCACAAAATCATGGGAATCTGGGGACTCATCAAGTTGTTCCTGTGAACAGTGAACAGGGTACAGTACTTGGCAGCCCTAGATCAGAAGATGCTTCTTAGCATGTCAAGCGAGGACATCAGCACATATCATGGTATGGGGACAGATGGCCATTCTGATTAACATGTTGTTCCTTAATCAGTTCTATGATTGAAACCTCTTTATAACTTGTGTCTGACTTGTTTGAGCAGATGGAATGCATACTCAGAGGAGTTCTATAGGAAGAGGCTACCATTTTGGTGATACCTCTAGCCATCTTATAGACCTTGGTATATTTTCTATACTGGGACCAATAGGAACATGCACTTTTGTATTAGCCTCTCAAAATATAATATAATTATTGGCAGGTTCTAATCTAAACAATACATTTGACATTTGAAGGGGAGGGGAGGGAGGGGAGGGAGGAGAGGCGGGGGAGGGAAGGGAAGAGAAGGGAAGGTCAGATTTGATTTAACTGACTCATCATCAGGAGCTGAAATGATATAGGTCCCGAGAATTGAAACGTGATGCCAAGTTATCTCATCTTATCGAGAATTAACTGACCAGAGCCTTCTTCTAAGATCTCCCCTCCCAATTTTTCAATCCATATTACAGTCCTGGGATTTTCTGGTGTTCTCCCATCCAGTCCTAGCCAGATCTAAGTGTTCTGTCAAGGGCAGCTAAACACGGGGACCTGCTATGATGTTCTTTTAATCCCATTAACTCTTTTAAAAACATACTCTAGGTACAGATCCTACATCCGTAATAGGGCTAGTCTGAGCAGCCAGCATTTCTATGTAAAAGGTGACAACAAGATCCCAATTGTGAGAAAAGGATGATATTAGCTTTGGCAAAAAGCATGCATGTATGGCAATTATTTCATTGTACAGTTTGCCTACAGCTACCGATTTCATCTTATTCGATTTATAAAATAGCTATTAAGAACTACCAAATGATTTAACATAAATACTTATATGTAAAGTAGTTATCAGAAACAAACACCACATTATTTCACATAATTTCTGCAGCACTGATCAGTTCATGGAACTCTCACCATTACTGCAAAGTACAGAAAGGTGTAGCCATTAGCAATTCTCATTCTCATCTCAAAGGCTGATGCCTTCAACCACCAATTGATTACAACTGTGTTATTTTAAGATATTAGCCATTAAAGCAATCCCTTTTTGCTGCCTGGGGTGGATTAAGAATGCCTCCCACCCCTTTCCCACACCCCTAAAGCCATCCTGACAACATTTGGCAGTGGGAAAAGACATCTATTGTAGCTGAGAATAACAGGAGGGCTGGGTAGTTCCCTGTTCCACTGGGTTCTCCCCCCCCCCCCGCCCCAAGTTTCTGCTGTTCAACATTGTTGTCATGATCCAATAGAGCCAGCCAACCTCCAAACTCCAACCAATCTGCCAACTTCTAGCCAATTTACCAACAATCAAACTAACCCCCCTTGTTAACTATGAAGTGTCAAGCTTTTGTACTTTACTCATTTTCAAACCAATGAATAAGTTTCCTGCTCAAGATGCGGCTCACCCAATCCGTCAAAAAACACTAAGAAGTGTTTCACAGAGGAACTGCCACTGTTGCTGCCTTTAAAATGCGTTGCAGTTTCATCTAATAACAAGCAGAATTAACCTAGCTATACAGTGCAAAGCACAAAGCAAAGGGTCAACATTAATCGATGCTGAAAGGCATGGATTTTCACTCCAGGGGCTAAGAGCAGAAGCAAGATGGAGTTTAACAAGTCCGACTCTTGGGCTCTTGGGCTGTAGGGAAAATCGATCCGAAAGGACTAAAATAGAGATAAGGTTCTGCTTACCTGCTCGTGATATTCAATGCCCATGCTGAGAGTATTGATCAAGATAGCAATCATGATGCCACGGCCAAAGTATTTGCTATCCACAATCTTCCGAAACGTCTCGCAAACCACCTTCCAGAAGGCTAGAAATTTTCGTGTTTTTCTTCCCCGAGCTTTCTGGCGCTTAGGGTCTCGCTGGTCACTGTAGTGAGCATCCTGGGTGAATTCATATACCACATCGCTATCGGAGTCTCCTGCCTCATGATCCTTCAGCTCTGGATTGTTAGCCAAAGTTTTTGTGCAATAGGGACAACTTTCTGGGCTGCAAATATTATCAGGTTTGCCCCCTTTGTTGGAAATCTTGCAGGAACTTTGACAGGGATCTAAAATGAGAAATCAATCAATAAATATTCATTTATCAGGCTTCTTAGAGGTCCCATTTTGGAGCAGATGAACAATGTGATAGTGCCAAACCCAGATATGCCCTTTTGGGGGGGGGGGGTGGTTTGTAGAAAATCCTAAGAATTTTAGGTCATTTCCTTTTACTGCTGACTTCAACCAGTACAGGCAGTCCTTGACTTACTACATGTGATAAGAATGGGGAAATATTACTTTGGTTCACATTTTTCTCTTGATAATTTATGGTAGCTGAATCCTAATATGAGGCTTTGCAATTTCAGCAACCGTGGGCACCCTAACCCCCAGAATTCCTTAGCCAGCATGAGAGTAGGAGTCCCCACATCCAAAGTTGCTGTGGCTGAGAAACACTGGCCTAATCCAAAGACTATCAGATATGGGAAGGTGACTCTACATGGGCTCAATGTAATTAACCATCAATGTTTACTTTTCTTCAGAATATGTGCTATATTTTTGAGACCAAAACAGTACAGGTAGTGTTTGACTTGCAACAGTTTCTTTAGTAATTGTTCAAAGTTACAATAGTACTGAAAAAAGTGACTTGTGACTGTTTTTCACACTTACGACTGCTGCAGCATCCCCATGGTTATCTGATCAGAATTCAGATGCTTGGCAACTGACTTATATTTATGATGGGTGTTATGTGATTCCCCTTTTGCGAACGTTTGTCAAGCAAAGTCAACGGGGAAGCCACATTCATTTAACAGTTGTTGACTCATCCTTCCATCCTTCCGAGGTGGGTAAAATGAGGACCCAGTGTCAGCTTTCCAAAAGATGTTCTTATTGATTCATGGGCCTTGAGCCAAGTTTCAAAAGAAAACCAATCTGTCAGCCTCTGCTTCGCTGCTGCTTTTCAGCTGCCATTGAAACGGGGAGCGGGGGCATGGTATTTGGGAGGGGAATCATTATGTACTGGAGGATTGTTATTAGGAGCTGTCCTGACC